CGATAGACATTAAGCTGAGAATGTCCAATAGAGGTGCACCGGTCTGGTTCAAAATTGTCTGCCCGGAACGTATGATCGATGATCCATCTGGTCCAGTGACTTCAATAGGCTGTTGGCGACCGGGTACGGGATGATACAATCCTTCTGCCGGTATACGGACTCCGAGTTCGAATCCACGTTTCTGCAGCCTCTGCTCCAAAACCTTGGTCCACAAGAAAGAGTCTTGTAAAGTATACTGTGCGCGCCGAGCTGCCTCAGTGTCTTCGCGGGTCGGCTCGTTAGGATCCTTGAAGGGCGCAGGAGGCTGCGTCGACGGCTCCCTGTAGAAGGAATCCTGCGTCGTCGCCGGCTTATATGGGGAGGGTTGTTCAAAACTAGGAGTCGTAGGAACGCTCCCAGTCGTCGACGCTTGTGATGTGAACGAAGTATTCACAGCAGGTGGCACCGGTTGTTGAGGTTGTTGCTGCGGAATCTGTGGCTGTTGAGGGCGAGGTGGTTGTTGAGCCTGCACCGGAGGACCAGAGTAACTGCTTGTCAGGTACGCCTCCTCTTCCCGCACATCAATTCCTGATGATGCTAGCACATCTGTGAGCTCGGCAGCATCGGTAGCCTTGTCTGCCGGTCGAGAAGGGGGTCCCATCGCGCCTGGAGGTGGAGGCGGAGGAGCGGGAGTCTGGGGGACGCCGTTCATATTCATGGTCGGTGTCGTCATGGGAGCCGGCTGGTGTTGCGGTAGTTGTAAGGTCCCGAAGCTAGGTGAGGCGTAAGGAGACTGGGACTGAGGGAGAGGTGAAAGATGTTGGCGCTTGAGAGGTGGAGGGACACCACCGTTTACAGGCGACGGGGCACCAGGTGAAGGTGAGGAACCCGGCGGGGAGAATGACTGCGTCAAGTGTTGTTGCTGGGGTTGCGCCATGGTGAATGGATGTTGTGACTTCGATGAAAATTCCAACTCGAAGAATTAAAGGCAAGACCGAGTCACGGTTGCGCTGGACGCTAGAAGGGAAGGTGTTTCGCGTTGTATGTATGTAGGAAAACCGGGCGGACTACTTTAACCGCCTCCACCACCAAGTGAGACCATCTCAGGTCATCGCAAGCAAGATATGAATGGCGTAGAGAGATCGAACAGGGAGTCTTGGTGAAGAAGCGAGCACCGGAGGGAGGGAAGAAGGTCGACGGGGTTTATCGGTGTTACTCTCGCGAACGGCGAAGGGGAGCTTCGCACCGACGAGGTTTGCTGTTGCGGCGATCCGGCCGGGAGCATCACGTGGCTGGCTTAGGTAAGTCCGCGCCATGTTGGACCTTGCGCTTCTTGGTTTCGCGACTTTCCGTGTCTTTAATGCGCCCAGTTGCAGGAAATGCAGAAGATATAACACACTTTGCCTGTTGCTCAAGATACTACTGTGGCGGACGCTGCACTGACTGTTTAAACTCCTGCAGATTTAGATCAGGTTCTGTGCAGTACATGTCATGGGCAATCAATCCCGCGTCAACTGACATCCTACGGAGCAGAGGCAGCTAGTTTAGGAATATCGGCACTTCCAGGAACACCATCACCTACTATTGACGCCGTCGCATCTGTACTGGCCTGCTGCATACTCTCATCAGTTCTGCATCGCTACCTGTAGCTTATCCGAAACTCCCAATCATGGCCACAAAGCGAAAGGCGTCGGCCTTGAATGCCGCGGTGGATGACGAGCCGGCCGATCCAACGGATGAATTGGCTTTCTATTGTCTAGGAGGTGGAAATGAAGTCGGGCGATCATGTCACATAATCCAGTATAAAGGCAAAACAGTGATGGTGTGTCATTCGCAACCCAATGCTGTAACTACTGTTTACTGACTGGTTTTATTAGCTTGACGCTGGTATGCATCCTGCGAAAGAAGGCTTCTCAGCCCTGCCCTTCTTTGACGAATTTGACCTCAGCACGGTAGATATTCTTTTGATCAGCCAGTATGTGGGACAGTCTCTCTTTTGCGTTCCCCTAGTCACCCTTCCTACACCGTCGCCCCCGAGCATGCGGGGATTGTTCATGGCCGTGGATAGCATCCCACACCACATCTCTCCTTGGTTTCCCAGCATGGTGGTAGAGTTCCTCTCTGCCATCATAGCAATTGCATTTGCTCATGTACTGAGAGACACAATACAATATATGCTAGTTATTCATCTTGGTCTTTGCGTTGTATCTCTGTATCCGTGCCTTTTAACGCAGTCTCTGCTACATTGCAATTTCACTCTTGCTCGACCATCTCAATCGGACAGTCGGCTGATAGATACTCTACTTAACTCATAGTTTCCATGTTGATCATTCCTCCGCGCTCCCCTATGTGCTCAGCAAGACCAATTTCAAGGGCCGTGTATTCATGACGCACGCCACCAAAGCCATCTACAAATGGTTGATCCAGGATAATGTGCGTGTGAGCAGCACGGCCTCGTCTTCGGATCAACGCACCACTTTGTATACCGAGCAGGACCATTTGTCTACGCTTCCGTTAATCGAGACGATCGACTTCAACACAACGCACACCATCAATAGCATTCGCATTACTCCCTTCCCTGCTGGCCACGTCCTTGGTGCGGCCATGTTCCTGATTTCGATCGCCGGCCTCAACATCCTCTTCACCGGTGACTACTCTCGTGAAGAAGACAGACATCTGATTCCAGCCGAAGTTCCCAAAGGTGTGAAAATCGACGTGCTTATCACGGAGTCGACGTTCGGTATTTCGTCCAATCCCCCCCGCCTGGAACGTGAAGCCGCCCTTATGAAAGCCATTACCGGAGTCCTGAATCGCGGAGGCAGGGTCTTAATGCCGGTGTTTGCCCTGGGTCGCGCCCAGGAGTTGTTGCTCATTCTGGATGAATATTGGGAGACACATCCCGAACTTCAGAAGATACCTATCTACTATATCGGAAATACGGCTCGCAGATGTATGGTTGTGTATCAAACATATATAGGTGCAATGAACGATAACATCAAGCGACTCTTCCGTCAGCGTATGGCGGAAGCGGAAGCTAGTGGTGACAAGAGTGTCAGTGCAGGGCCCTGGGACTTCAGATTCGTCAGAAGTTTGCGCAGTCTGGAACGTTTCGATGATGTAGGGGGATGTGTTATGTTGGCTTCACCAGGTATGCTCCAGACAGGAACCAGTAGGGAGCTTCTGGAGCGGTGGGCCCCGAACGAACGCAATGGTGTGGTCATGACAGGCTACAGTGTTGAGGGCACGATGGCCAAGCAGATCTTGAACGAACCGGAGCAAATCCCTGCGGTCATGTCAAGAGCAACGACGGGATTGGTGAGGCGAGGCATGGCTGCCGGAAATGAAGAAGAGCAGAAGGTTATGATTCCCAGAAGATGTACAGTGGATGAGGTCAGTTTCGCAGCCCATGTAGATGGAGTTGAGAACAGAAATTTCATTGAGGAAGTCTCTGCACCTGTTGTGGTATGTAGCCCCGTTTACCTCTCGTCACAATACGTTTGGATCACTCATTCTCCTTAGATCCTTGTCCACGGTGAAAAGCACCAAATGATGCGACTCAAATCGAAGCTGCTCAGTCTCAACGCTGAAAAGACCGTCAAAGTCAAGGTCTACACGCCGGGCAATTGCGAAGAAGTTCGCATCCCTTTCAAGAAGGACAAGATCGCAAAGGTAGTGGGTAAATTGGCTCAGATCGCGCCTCCTTCGGAGCAAGACGATGGCCAGCTCATGTCCGGCGTCCTTGTCCAAAATGGCTTCAACCTATCGCTAATGGCACCCGACGATCTCCGCGAGTATGCTGGTTTGACCACCACCGCTATTACATGCAAGCAGCATATTACGTTAAGCTCTGCAAGCATGGACCTAATCAAATGGGCTCTTGAAGGTACCTTTGGAGCCATTGAAGAAGTCGGCAAACCACAGCAGGAAATTGTCAAGAAGGGACAGGAAGATGAATCCGACAAAGCCAATGGAGACAAACTCAAGGAGGAAGCCGCCGATGAAGAAATCCCCATGGGAGATACGCAAACCTACCTGGTCATGGGCTGCGTGCTCATCCGATACTATCCTCGTACTCGCGAAGTCGAACTTGAATGGGAAGGGAACATGATGAATGATGGAGTTGCTGATGCAGTCATGGCGGTTCTCCTGACTGTTGAGAGCAGCCCTGCGTCGGTGAAACGTAAGTGGCAATAACCCATTTCAATACCTATGAAAAACCATCCTACTAACTACAAATCATAAAGAATCCGCAAAGCACAAGCATCACCATCACCACCACCACCAACACGACGATGACCACGCCCACCAAATTCCCAATCCCCACTCCAACGTCGGACCAGAAGAGCGTTTCCGACGTCTCCTCATGATGCTCCAAGCACAATTCGGCTCAGAGATCACAGCCATCGAGCGCCCACGCCTACCCCCCAATAGTATCACCAATGGCACCACCGACAAAGTTGACTCCGACGAAAAGTCTACCCCCGTGAAGGAAGAAGAAGAAGATGACCTAACAGAGCTAGAAGCAGCCGAGATCTCTCGTCTCCACGCACTAGGCATTCCATTCCCCGGACTCGAAATCAAGGTCGACAAGCACATCGCCCGGATATGGCTGGAAGATTTGGAAGTGGAGTGCGTCAACCCTGCGCTAAGGGATCGGGTGCGCGTCGTCGTCGAACGAGCCGTGGAAACCGTAGCGAGCATGTGGGCAGAGGGACCTGCGCCTGCTACAGTGGTGGCCGCAAATGGAGAAAGCAAAGATCAGGATGCTTCTACGGGATTGGAGGCGACAGCGATTGAGGCTAAAGCGTGATATGAATCTGTAATTGGCGTATGTTACTATAAGCTTCTTAGTATGTTCCACTTGAACTTCACTATTTCCCCACTGAACAACTTACCTAGCACAGCTCAAAAGAAATGAAAAACTCATAATAGAGTGACATGCCTGCTGAGGCCATTGCTATGGTATTTAGGAGAAGAATCGTGCAAAAAGCAAAAGCGTCCAACAGAGTACCGGGTGCGCTTTAGGTCGCCGCCCAGAATTCTCTGTACGCTGATCTGACTTCCTTGAACTGATGGTATTCGGGAGCCATCATGTTGAGGTAGTTTTCGGGGTACCCGGCTTCTTTCAGGGTACGTAGAAACGTGTCAAACCGTGCTTTCAATGCGTCAGTTGCTTCAAGGCGGTCGGAGGCTTCGATGGTAGCATGTTTTTCCAAGACTTGAATAGTTGGAGTGTAGTCTTAACGTAGTTAAGGTTAGTACATGACTTAAATGAGGGATGCAGAAATTGCAATTGAGATAGGGTGGACTTGTTCATCAAGACTTACTGATGATCTCTGCTATGCTCGGCTCAACACCATAGAGACATCGGAATGTGTTGGTGTCATATCGCGGCGGATGCACTGTGCCATCTTCGTCAATGTACCGGCCTTCTTCACTGTACAAGAACGCATCTGCCTTGAAATGGCCGCCGTGCGCTTTCGCGTGTCCTTGGCTAATAATCTTTTGATTGTCGGCGGTGCGGTCACCCATGTGGTCTCTGCGATAGGTGGAAAGAAATCTTGAGCGTATCTTAGCGAATCCAAGGTTAGACTCAACACTCGTTCTCTGGCCTAGTCGATCAAGTGCGTCATGAATGTCCGAAATCTGCTTCTTTAGCTGTATGTTGAGTTTTTCTTGCTCTTCCATTTTGGCACACTGCTGCTCGATCTTGGACTCAAGCATGGGTAATCTCGCGTTTTCGCGGGCCAACTCAATACCTGCGTTGTTGCCAGTAACAAGGTCGTCTTTCACAGCTTCAACAAGGAGCTCGTCGTCTTCGAGGCACTCGGATATCGAGCGTTTCGTGGCAGTCAACATCTGCGAGTCGGATCCAATATCAATCTTCGATGACACTATGGCTGTTGCTCGTTCATCTGAGAAAATTGGGAAGTCAGTTGACGAAGAACCTTTGGATTTCTTAGAACCTTTTCTTCGAGGCATCTTGTGAAGTCTGTATTGCGTCGGAGGAGTGAAGTGAGAACAGTGATTAAGCGGGGAGTATGAGTAGAGTGGGAGTAGTACGTGGAAAGAAAGCAGAAGGGAAGCACCCAAGCAGAAATACTTGTTGGCAGACAGGTTGTTTGGGAAGGCACGTTGACAGTGCGTCTTGGGAAGGCACGTTGATACTGTGTCTTGGGAAGGTGTCGCTCCGATGGGGTACTGCCGTCTTGAAGGTGTGGGTTGTATTCAAAGGCTAAGAAAACGCTGGAGAATAGCACGTCGTAAAAAGTATGATTATGAGCTTGGAATAAAGGAAGTAGTAAGGTGAGAATTTGAGGGGTGATATATATGTACCGGGAGGTAAGTAGATGATGTCTGCATTATGGTGTACCTACGTAGGTACCGTATCCATAGGCGGGTACTGACGGGGATTTGATGAAATAATACGGAAAGCTCTGTGTTTCCGAGCAAGCTGTTGGCGTCATCAAACAGGTTGTATCTCACTGTACTCAGTGACAGGCTACCGGACTCCACAGCTCTGAGAACTTTGCCGGGGGTACCGACGACAACGTCAAAGTTTTTAGACGGATGGTTGGATTCTGGAAGATCACTTTGGGACACAATTGGCTGCACGAGGAGGTCATGTCCAGGCTTCAAGCAGCTTATTGTCTATTTCGCCCATGGGCCATCTCTCGTGTCGGGAAGAGGAAAACTGCTTTAGGGCCAGGTGGCCAAATCGGGCATGAACAGAGTTCGTTTATTATCCCATACACACAGGCATTGGTGACACCCGAACCCGGAGTGCTGATTGCCAGAATATCGCGTGATGTGACAACCAGAGGGATGATGAGGCGTTCGACTTCACCCAATTTAGTGTTCGAGTCTTCCAGGGCACGCGCGAGACGTGGATCCAAGCTCAACGGAAGCCTAGGTGAGCCACGGAGCTTGATGTGGTTTCTAGACCTTCAGATGATAAGCAATAATCTATATCTTTGAAGGAGGGGAAAGACATACATTGCCATTGTCAACAAGTAGTCTCAGAGGATGATTCCTAGAAGAAACAGGAAAGGGGAGTGAGATTCGCCGGCTTCTTGGACGAGTTTGTTGGACGAGTTTGTTGGACGAGGTGGAAGAGGAGATGGAAGAGGAGATGGGAGAGGAGATGGGAGAGGAGATGGGAGAGGAGATGGGAGAGGAGATGGGAGAGGAGATGGGAGAGGAGATGG